CCCTAGTTCATATGTGAACATTACTGGATGTTCCCCCTCATCATGGAGCAAGGGGAAAGTGCGCAGTTTGCTGCATTCCTAACTCTGGCTGGTGAGCGCAAGGGGCAGACGAATCTGGACTGCACCAGCCAGGGGACATGTATCTCTTCCATGAGTATGCCCACTGGAGCTGCAGCAACCATGGAGAGGCAATTCTCACCTGGCCCCAAGCTGCTGCAGTGAGATGGAGGTTGCAATAACAGAGGCGTAGGACATTATTCTTTAACTTATACAGGACTGTGATGGGGTTCACTCACCACTGTGGCACCTCCTTTCAGCTGTCCCAGGGATTAGCTCTGCTATCCAGTGTGCCCCTCCTGGCGCTCTCTCATCTGACATCACTTCTGCTTCTGGATCAATGTCGTTTCAATTACCGGGGCACGTCTACACTACAGAGAAGATTGAAGGTGCCACTATCGATCTTCCAATTCTAATTCCAATTGAATTAGCAGATCTAGTGAAGACACGCTAATTTGATGTGAGAGGAGCACTCTGGTCAATGCTGGTATTCTAGTTCCACAAGGAGTAAGGGAAGTCGAAGGGCTTCCTGCAGTGTGGATAGGCCAAAAGTTGAGTTAAGGTACTTCAGCTACATTAATTGCATAGCTGAAGTCAAAGCTGTGTATCTTAATTTCACCTTATCCCTTAGTGTAGACTTACCCATCGTGTCCTCTTCAGGACACAGCCTTCTGGCTGTATCATGCTCTGTTCTCCTCAGTTCTGAGGGATCTGCAGTCTGCGGTCCAGTCACTTCCCTCAGTGGCAACTGCAGCCAATTGTCTGTCCATTTCCTCCTTAGTGGGGAAGGGGAGAGAGTGAGGACCTGGGCCAGCCCACTACTCTAGGTCCTGCCCCAGGGATTCTGCAGCTGGCTGCCACTTACTGTGTCCCCTCCAACTCCTCAGTTCTCTTCTCTGGGTCACTTGTCCATGGTCACCAGCAACCTGTTTGGCCTGGTTTCAGGGCTGCAGCATGCAAATCTCCAAAGCCAAGGAGCTATCTTTTGCTTCCTTGCAGTCACTACTAGCAGCACTGCTCTGCCCAGGGTGCTGAAGCTCCTTCCTCTTGTTAGGAGCCTGATTTTCCCTCTTAAAGCTTCAGGCAGCTACTGATCTTGTTCTGCCCTTAAGTTCTTACATGGGCTTGCCAGGCCCTGACAGCCCCTCTCGAACTGGTTACCTCCTGCCTATGGTCCTCTTTAATTGGCTGCCTGCTGGATAGCCTCCCTATGGTTCTATTAATCCCTTATGCAGCAATGTGGAGCAAATGTCGCATCACAAGGACCACTCATGGAGTCCTTATTCATTCAAGTCAGCAGACATTTTCATGAGTAAGAACAGGCCTGGGCCACTGATTACTTGCAATCAGGGAACATTTAAGAACATTTTAACTAAAAATATGCTGGTTTGTAGACATTTCAAAATCCTCTAACAAGTTTGCTTTTATTACATTCATACAGTACTCAAAAGCAGTGGATGTATTAGGCTTCATCGAGCAGATTTTTCCAGTTGAATACATTTAACTTGCTAGATAAAGAAATTAAGAACTATAGTGTGCAACTCATGATACTTTTGAAGACTACTGCTGTAGCTCAAAATAAATTGTATACAGAGAAATGTATTTGTTGATCTTCTACAGAGATCGACATGCTAAGTTTATTGGAGAAAGTAAAGTATAAGCTACTGGCAAAAGGAAGATTTTTGCAGGGAGTTTTACAGAGAAGGAGTGTCTCTGGGTCTGATCCACTTCCTACTGAAATCAACTGGCTGCCCTGCAAATGTCAGCAAGGGATTATTCAGAAAAGTAGTCGATGTGGCCATCGCACAAGTGGAATGTGCAGTGACTGTCTAAGATGGGTCCTTATTCTGAAGTCGGTAGGAGGTATGCAGTTCATAAACTACTTGGAGATATGTTGTGTGGAGATGGCTGTTCCCCTGTAGGGACTGGACATAGATAAATTCCTTGTCCTATCAATGTAGAACTCAAGGGCTTGTCTTGTGTCCAAAGTGTGTAGCATCGCTTCCCTGGGAGAACTGTGAGGTTCCGGATAATAAGTCGGTAAATAGATGGGTTCATTGCTATGGAAATTAGATATAACTTTGGGCAGGAATTTTGGATGAGGCCTGAGAATAACTTTATCCTTGGTTAAAAAAAACAGCATATGGCTGGTCTGCCATAACAGTTGCAATTTCACTGACCCTCTTGGCTGACGTGATCAGAACTATAAAGGTCACTTTCATCACCGGATGCTATTGACTGGCCATCCTTTATTATAGATTGGAGTTGGGGCCTCTTTTACTCCAGAAGATCATTTAAGACAGTGTTTCTTAAACTGGTGTGCCACGGAGAACAACAGAGTTCAAAATGGCCACCCTTAAAGGGACAGGTGACTCTCCCCCTTCCCCCCGACCCTATTTTTTTTTGGCTCAATAACTTCCTCCCCCCCCTGCCATTTTTTCAATAACTTTTCCCCGGCCCCGTATCTCCCCCCAACAAAAAGTCTTTGGTGTTCCTCATAAAAAAAATTATTGTTTGGTGTTCCTCTGTCTTAAAAAGTTTAAGAAACACTGATTTAAGAGCTCTTGAAGTCTAGTGTAATTCATGTGATCATAATTTGCAAGTAGTATAGTTCAATATAGGGAATGCAGGGTAGCAGAGCAGTACACTTTCTTTACCAAAAATGTCCAGCCACCTGTTCTCCTTGTCCTAGGGCATAGATTTAAATTGTGGTTGCCTTAACCGATGTTGGATCAAGTCCATGACGAATGAGTTAGGCTGGGGTTGGGAGAAGAGAAAATCCATTCCCTTGGCCAGGACAAAATATTTTGTGATTAGTGGTAAGAATGAAGACTGGTGTCTGCCATATTGCCTCTGATGGTTCCATAAATGGCCTCATCAATTGGTAGAAATATTTTAGTGGATGTGGCAGGTTGTACGATTTTCAATAACTTGTAATGTTTTTCTTGTACCTCCTGCAGTACAATATCCTGGGACTGTGCCATGCATTAGAATACACTCTGAAATTGCTTCAGGTCATCTGCAGGGGGAAAGGAAGAGAAGAAAACAGCTTTGTCCAGAAATGAAGGTGACTGATGAACCAGAGATTGACTATCTGAATCTGAATGAGGCAAGTCATTATCCTCGTCTGCAGGCTCAGGTGAGTGCGGAAGGTGGGATGGGGAAGATTGTGTGGTGTGGCTGAAGAATGTGTTAGTGTATGTGCTGGATTGCCACTGTCGACTCATGTTAACAATGACGGTGCAAGGAGTGGGTGCGATATTGGTTCCAGGGCTCCCAAGGTGGCCACTGAAGTTGGAACTGTTGTGGTGGATACAGCCAAGGCTGGTTAAACCACGGATACTCTGGAGGATGGCGGGTTGGCTGGTTTCTAGTAGAATGCCACGATGCTACTAAACCCACTGAAGAGTAATGCTGGGAGGAGAACCTGCTCCTATTACCAGTGCCATGTCCAGTGCCTGGAGATAAAAGTGTAGGTGAGAAAAATATTCTCAGAAGAGCGTTGGTGCAGACTGGATTCCACAATTATATGAGTGGGGAGGTAAATTCATGCTTAGTGCCAGTGGTGTTTGTGCTGACGGCTGTGGTGTTCAGTGCCTCATGTGCATATTCTTCTGGGAAGCCGTCTTCGACTCCACTGCCACTGTATGTTTGGGTGCCAACTAATAGTGGGAATCGGAGTGTTGTGTCGGTGTCAGGGTATCCACTGGCACAGGTGGTGGCAGCATATCAGCTTTGGTGGGTGCCGGGCAAAAAGCAGTCCTCTTTGGCTCCAACTCCACCCTTTTTGTAGGTGCCATTCTCAGCTTTTCCACAGCGCCGGAGATAGACAGCACCAATGAATGCACGGCACAGGATGTTGAAGGCAGGGACCGTGAAAGAGAGGTCTGGGACTTACAGGAGTCCCTCGTAGGGGATGAGTTAGCCCTCTTGCGCGGAGTTGGTGGTTCAGAGGTTTTGCTGGGCTTGCACGGCTAAAGGAATCTCTCCCATAAGAGGTTTTTAAGCCTCATCTCCTGGTCCTTTCTCACTTTCATAGTCATGTTTTGACAGTGTGGCATTTCTGTGCCACATAGCTGTCGCTCAGACATTTTATGCAGAAAACATGCTTGTCAGATATGAGCATCGAGTATCTGCAGGAGTCACACTTCTAACCCTGGAATTTTGTAACTAAGAAGTTAATTAGTTATAATGAATGTATGTTATAGCAAAAGGTTTGGATTAAACTTAAACACAAGATGTAGGCCTCAGACATGCCAGGCAGGTATGCTAGTTTAGCTCCAGCTCTGTTTGATGTTAGCATGTTCTAATGTTAAAGTGATGGGATGGAATATTGTAATGCATAGTGATGTTAATATTAGATAAGGTCTTGTAATAGATAGAAAATCAATAGGAGTTTTGGCCTTTAAAATCTTATCTCTAGAAATTAATGGAATGATGCATTCATAGGACACAGCTCTGCAATCTTCACTCATGCTGACAAAAACTTACTCATGCAAGTAATTCCATTGATTTAATCGGGAACATTTGTCTAAACGCTCATTAGTATGAGTGAGTGTTGCAAACCTGGGGTCTGAATAAGCAGCACGTATGGGGCAGATGGTCAGCTGTTGTAAATTGCCAGTTTACACCATGTGAGGATCTGGCCCATGAGAAAAAATGATGCCAGGCAAATGGGGGTTTATTATTTATTAATTTATTTAAATAGAGTTAAAATAAATACTGGATGATGGGAATAAACTAGATGCAATACATCTGCCATTTAATAAAATATTTGACACTGACTCCTATATTTTTATTTGCAGATTTTCTTGGATATGATAATCACTATAATGTCCACTGAAAACTGAATACCTGCAAACAAAGAGTAACAATATACAGCAATGTATCAATTTGAAGGAATACGCGCAATGAAATCCTGTAGGGATCAGTGTAAGGACCAGTTTCATATAACATCTTTATTAAATGTATGAATATCAATAGTTCTGCTGCACTTCCCTCCATTCTGAGACACAGGGGTATGTAAAAAATAGTAATAAATGTGATGGTGCCATAAAAGGGGCACTCTGCAGCATGTTCCTCCTCACACCACCTAGAAGAATCTTCTTTAGAGGACTCAGGTGACCAAGACTCTGCAGATCTGGGTAAGGCATGGTTGGGTTGGGCCAAAGCAGTAGTCACTCTCCTCAGATTCATCCCTCCTTCAACCTGCAGAGAATTAGTAACAGAAGAGGCTAATGGGATCTCATGTTCATTCATCTTCTATACACTGAAATACTGGTGAATTCAGTACACGGCTCCTAAGGAAGCTGTGTTTCTACAAGGAGGGTGAGAAACCTGGTCAGTATTGTAGTATCATGCTGCCTCAGTACCAGAGAAATGTAGGTAAATTAGATGGAATTGACATAAGAGCAACAAAAGATGAGTACGGATTTAATGATGACTGAGGAGTGAACATAATAAATAATGAGAGGGTCTAAGTAAGCACCCAGGATGTAGATAAATTTGCTTAAAACTGATACAATGGGATGTAACTACAGGCTGAACCTCTCTAGTCCAGCACCCTCGAGACTTGACTGGTGCTGAACCAGAGAGTTTGCTGGACCATGGGAAGTTAATATTGTCTAGAAGCATTACCAACACTTACACTGCTTAGTGGTCTCTTAGAAGACATTTAGAGGTAAATTAGAGCTAAATAACAGCACAGAACACTGAGAGCCAGGACTGGTGGCTGTAAACAAACTATATGGGACCAAGAGAAACTTGGCCACATGCATGATAAGTGAACATCTGGCTTACTAAAATGATGCCAAACCATGGATGTTGCTGGACCAGAGAGTGACAGACTAGAGAGGTTCAATCTGTAGTATATGTGGACAAAATCAAGAAAGCAAGCACATCCTGACACTGACATTAGCTGGTCTGGGGAATCATCTCCCTGTGAAAATAATGTCAATTCCAACATTTGTAGCCTTGGAAACTAGACTGGACAAACCTCCTGAAAATATACTGTGGGGCCTTTTCTGTACTTGCAGGGGACTGGACTGAATGACCTAACAGGCCAGTTCCATTTCTACTATTTATGATTTTATTACTTTAATTAAATAATCTGTTCCCCACTTCTTTACCTTCAGTTTCCTCTTTGTCACTAGGTTGTGAATTCCTTCCTTTGGTTTTCATTCCCCTCCTGGAGATAAATAAAAGATCATCAGAGTCTGAAGTCTTCTCCTTAGGATGCTTTTTGCTTTCTGCTTTCCCTTTGTTCTTCTTTTTTCCCCCATCTTCATTCAATTTTTTTTCCCTTTCTGTTTCTTCTTCTAGAGATGAGTTCTGGGTGGATTTCTCAGCCTGTACATTTGGGCTAGAAATCAGAAGAGAAGATTCATTGATCTACATCTACGTTTGTGTGTGTAAATATGGTATATCATGCTATTTCAAAGTATTTATTGTCATTTTATTATTCTAACTTTGTATGACATCTTTCCCCACCACCAACCTCTCACAGTTTTGAAAAGCACCCATTGTGCTGACAGTAGCCTTGTGAAGTGGCCAGAGTTCAAATGTTTTCTGACTCAACCTAACCTGCAAAACACAAAGACAGTCCCTGGCCCAGACACTCCACATTCTAAGATGTAGACAACAGGATACAATACTTGTATGGGTGCTGAACATATGCACTGCATTGTCCACCTTGATGCCAGGCTCACTCTGTATGTACATTGTGTCTAGCACAATGTGGCCCTGGTCTTAGTTGCTACTAGTACTAATAGCGTCAAACTTCAATTGATTTTTGTTTATAAAAAATAGTGTTACAAATTAACTCCTAATTAATTATACTCCAAACACTACAGAGTTTTCTAATCATAAATACAGGGATGGCCTATTAGAACATTCCAGATCTAAACAAACAACAGCTAAACGATCATAAAGATTTTACAAAGCAAAAAAAACCCAAAACAATTTATTTTCAAGTATTACTTTTGCATAGTATAATTAGCAAGCAAATGACAATACCAAGTAGTGATTTGAATAAGAACAAGCACATGCAAAGTAATCAGACTTTATACCTATTCTTTGTAGAGGAAGGAAGGAGACATCCTGTTCAGGTATCCATCATGAACCTACCTTACCCCACACATATCACAATCATCAAGTTTTAATGACAGACTCCACCTCTTTGTAAATAAGTCTCATATCACTGCAGCATGCACAGTAATAAAATACACTGAAAAGCAAAAGCTTAACTCAACTTCTGAAACAGCATCATAGCTGTCTGATAGATGCATGGGAATCAATGACCTATATGATGAGCTGTTGGAAGAATGAGCACGAAGCTAAGCATCACAGTGCTGATCGTTTTAGAATGCCATACACAGCAAGTTTCAGCTAGGAACACATTCCATGGTTGACTAAAGTCCGTGAAAACAAATACTATAATGGAAATGTTGCCACAAGCTTTATTCAAGCAGTACAACTGGCACAGCTAGCATTAGCACTGATTAATGTGCAGTTAATGAAATACAACTGAATAATGATTTTGAAAGCACAGTTTCTCATAAAAGAGGAAAACTTTTAGGGCTGTCAACTGACATGCATTAATGCCTGCGATTAACGCAGTCCAGGATTAACGCGTTAAATTTTTTAATGTGTTAATCGAAGGCGTTAATGCTGCGCTGCCCCTTTGAAGTGCTGCTGCGGTGCTTCAAAAGGGCAGAGCGATGCAGAGCCCAGGATCAGCTGGGGACTCCTCAGTTGACCCTGGGCTCCCCTGCCCCTTTGAAAAGTGCAGAAGATGGTGTTTCAAAGGGACAGCTACCTCACAGCTGAGCTGGGGATCAGCTGTGCAGCAACTACCCCTTAGAAACGCCACCTCCACGTGTTTGAAAGGAGCAATGGAACTTGGGGTCAGCCGGGGACTTCCCAGCTGATCCTGGGCTCCGCGCAACATTTCCCCAGAACCCGGGATCAGCTGGGGACTCCCCAGCTAACTTCGGGCTCCATGGCTGTCTCTTTGAAACGCCACCTTGGGGTTCAAAGCAGCAGCACTCCACAGCTGTGCGGTGCTGCCACTTTGAAGTACCCCTTGCCCCCTCTCCCTTTTGCTGCCTCTATCTGATAGAGGCAGCAAAGCTGGGTGGGGAGGGGGGGAGAAATTGACTAGGCCACTAGTCGACTGACTATCATAGAATCATAGGACTGGAAGGGACTCGAGAGGTCATTGAGTCCAGTCCTCTGATTTAATGGCAGGACCCAGCACTGACTAGACCATCCCTGATAGACATTTATCTAACCTACTCTTAAATATCTCCACAGATGGAGATTCCACAACCTCCCTGGGCAATTTATCCCAGTGTTTAACCACCCTGACAGTTAAGAATGTTTTCCTAATGTCCAACCTAAACCTCTCTTGCTGCAGTTTAAGCCCATTGCTTCTTGTTCTATCCTCAGAGGCCAGGAAGAACAAGTTTTCTCCTTTCTCCTTGCGACACCCTTTTAGATAACTGAAAACTACTATCATGTCCCCTCTCAATCTTCTCTTTTCTAAACTAAACGAGCCCAATTCTTTCAGTCTTCCCTCATAGGTCATGTTCTCTAGACCTTTAATCATTTGTGTTGCTCTTCTCTGGACCTTCTCCAATTTCTCCACCTCTTTCTTGAAATGTGGTGCCCAGAATGGGACACAGTACTCCAATTTAGGCCTAATCAGCACAGAGTAGAGCAGAAGAATGACTTCTCGTGTCTTGCTCACAACACTCCCGTTGATGCATCCCAGAATCATGGTGGTTGGTTTTTTTGCAACAGCGTCACACTCTTGACTCATATTTAGCTTGTGATCCACTATGACTTCTAGATCCCTTTCTGCAGTACTCCCTCCTAGACAGTCGCTTCCCATTCTGTATGTGTGAAACTGATTGATTGTTCCTTCCTAAGTGGAGTACTTTGCATTTGTCCTTATTAAACTTCATCCTATTTACCTCAGACCATTTCTCTAGTTTGTCCAGATCATTTTGAATTATGTTCCTATCCTCCAAAGCAGTTGCAACCCCTCCCAGCTTGGTATCATCTGCAGACTTAATAAGGATACTCTCTATGCCCAATATGTTGATGAAGATATTGAATAGACCTCTGTGGAACCCCACTTGTTACTCCTTTCCAGCAGGATTGTGAACCATTAATAACTACTCTCTGGGAATGGTTATCCAACCAGTTATGTACCCACCTTGTAGTAGCCCCATCTAAGTTGTATTTGCCTAATTTATTGATAAGAATTCATGCAAGACCATATCAAATGCCTTACTAAAAAGTCTAGGTATACCACGTCCACTGCTTCTCCCTTATCCACAAGACTCATTATCCTATCAAAGAAAGCTATCAGATTGGTTTGACATGATTTATTCTTTACAAATCCATGTTGTCTGTCACCTTATTATCTTCCAAGTGTTTGCAGATGATTTCCTTAATTACTTGCTGCATGATCTTTCCTGGCACAGAAGTTAAACTGACTGGTCTGTAGTTTCCTGGGTTGTTTTTATTTCCCTTTTTATAGATGGGCACAATATTTTCCCTTTTCTAATCTTCTGGAATCTCTCCTTTCTTCTATGATTTTCCAAAGATGATAGCTAAAGGTTCCGATACCTCCTTTATCAGCTCCTTAAGAATTCTAGGATGCATTTCATGAGGCCCTGGTGACTTGCAGACATCTAACTTTTCTAAGTGACTTTTAACTTGTTCTTTTTTTATTTTATCTTCTAAACCTACCTCTTTCCCACTAGCATTCACTATGTCAGGCATTTCTTCATCAGATTTCTCGGTGAAGACAGAAACAAAGAAGTCATTAAGCATATCTGCCATTTCCAAGTTTCCTGTTACCGTTTCCCCATCCTCACTGATCAATGGGCCTACCCTGTCCTTAGTCTTCCTCTTGCTTCTAATATATTTATAGAATGTCTTCTTGTTTCCCTTTATGCCGGTAGCTAGTCTGAGCTAGTTTTGTGCCTTTTCCTTTCTGTGCCTCTGCCTTTGTACGTTTTGTGCATTTGCTTATTGGATAGTCAACTAGTCTTTAACTTCCCTACCTGGGATCAGCTGGAGTACCCAGCTGATTCCCCAGCTCCACGTTGTACTGCCCCTTTGAAGCATGGGAGCAATGCATCAAAGGGACAGCGCAACGCATATATAGGGATCAGCTGGCCACTCCAGCTGATCCCGGGCTCCTAATGTGCTGCCCCTTGGAGGTGCCCAGGGTGACATGTCCAAGAGGCAGCACAACGCAGAGCATAGGATCAACTGGGCACTCCAGCTGATTTCAGGCTCCGTGTTGCGTTGCCTCTTTGATGCGCCACCGCGGTGCTTCAAAGGGGCAGCACTTCATGGAGCCTGGGGTCAGATGGGGACTCTAGCTGATCCCACGCTCCATGCAGCGCTGCCCTGTTGAAATGTCACAGCGGCATTTCAAAGGGGAGGAGTACACAATTAATCGCATGATTAATCGTATTTACATTTTTAATTGCGGGATTAATCACAATTAAATTTTTTAATCGCTTGACAGCCCTAAAAACATTCCTTAGACACTGTGTGCTACACTACATAATTGTGTTCATCTGAGGCCACCTTCTCTCACCTTATAAAACACAAAAAAACAGGACTATGTAGCACTTTAAAGACTAACAAGATGGCTTATTAGGTGATGAGCTTTCGTGGGCCAGACCCATTTCCTCAGATCAAATAGTGGAAGAAAACTGTCACAACCAGATATACCAAAGGATACAATTTAAAAAAATGAACACATATGAAAAGGACAAATCAAAGTTCAGAACAGAAGGGGGATGGTGTGGGGGAAAGATAAATGTCTGTGAGTTAATGATATTAGAGGTGATAATTGGGGAAGCTATCTTTGTAATGGGTAAGATAATTAATGTCTTTGTTTAAGCTTAGGCGTAAAGTGTCAAATTTAAGCATGAATGACAGTTCAGAGGATTCTCTTTCAAGTGTAGTTTTAAAAGGTTTTTGAAGCAGGATGCAGGTAATCAAGTCGTTGAGACAATGTCCTTTCTGGTTGAAATGGCAAGAAACTGTTTTTTCTTTGTGATCCTGTCTAATATCTGTTTTGTGGGCATTGATCCTTTGGCGAAGTGTCTGAGACGTTTGTCCAATGTACATAGCAGACGGACACTTTCGGCACATGATAGCATAAATTATATTTCTGGATGAGCAGGAATATGTGTTCTTGATCTTATAACTCACCTGGTTAGGTCCAATAATGGTATCAGCAGAGTGAATATGTGGACAAAGCTAGCAACGTGGTTTGTTGCAAAGGAAGGTACCAGGATTGGTATTAGTGTGGTATGTCCTGTGGTTGTTGGTAAGAATCATCTTGAGGTTAGGTGGTTGTCTCAGACACTTTGCCAAAGAATCAATGCCAATGGACATATTTAGTTACACACTGCACAAATTTAGTGTTTTCACTACAACTGTTTTCCTGGAAAGTTCCACTTTTTGTCAAGGAATAACCCAATTTTACCAGTATTTGTATGTAACAACAGCAAATCAATTTGTCAGTAAAGTATATGTTTAAAGATGGAATGTAAAACTGATAAAGTACTTAGTTAAGAAACAAAGCATGTAAAATGAAGTTATATTTATTTGCTTATGTATTTAATCATATTTTTATAATCAGATTCTTCAGTTAGAATATAATCTTATGAGTCTCAGTAGACACATGGAAAGGTTTCCACTTTCTTAAGTGTGGCTATTTTTGATCCAGCTCTACAACTCACTTGTCTGTTGTTATTTGGCTATGTGTGCTTAAGAAGTAGAATATCTTGTCCCTTAGCTTAGATGTATGGACAGAAGCCTGATTACCATCTGTGATACAGCAGGGGGTAGTAGGAGAGTGGGAGAGGAGATATTTATAAGTCCTAGGCTAATTAAGGCATGGTTCTTTTTATACTAGGGAAGGTTACTGCAGGTTAATTGAAGCACCTGTAGCAAATTAAGACCATGTCAAGAACCTATTAAAAAACGCTTGTCCTAGACATATGGTGTCCAACACACTAGCCACGTGGCTATTTGGCCAGTTGAGTGTGGCTTGTTGGCTTGAACAATGTGGCTATTTAGCTGGTTGACAGTGGCTAGTTCTCTATAGCAGTAGCCACTATAGTGGCTATTGCTTCAGATCTGGTTGGACACCATAGTCCTAGACCAGAGGTCCCCAACACAGTGCCCGTGGGTGCCATGCCATGCCCGTGGGTGCCCGTGGGTGCCTAGTGACCAGGGCTGGCCTGAGCCATTCTTGAGCCCCAGGTGCATGTGTAGCACCGCTCCTGGGCGTGTGGTGAATGCGTGGTCCCCCCCTTCCTCCCCAGGATGCCCGGCAGCCCCAAAACGTTGGGGACCACTGCTAGACTATGAGGGTACACCTACACAGCAGATTTAAAGCTGAATTAAGCTACTCAACTTCAGCTACAACAACTGAGTAGCTTAAGTTGAAATAGCTTAATCTGGCTTTTGGCGCGGTCTACACAGGAAGTCGAAAGAAGAACACTCTTCCTTCGACTTTCCTTACTCCTCCTAAAATGAGGGTTACCATGAATTGGAGTAAAAAGTCCTCCAGCTCGACATTATTTCAAAATAACAGCTTGTAGTGTAGACACATTCTGTGTTATTTTTGAATAACATCAATTATTCTGAAATAATACTTCTGTGTAGATGTTAGATTGCTGTCTGCCATGGCCAGGAGGCTTGGGCCAGAAACTGCTATATAGCTTCCTTTGCATCTGACGCAGCAGGTCAGGGTGGCCTCACTCTGAGCTTGACAAAGAGGAATCTCTGGAATAGGAACTAGAGAACTTTCTACCCTTGGAGGCAGGCTTGTAGATTTTCTTAGGTTGCTCTGATTTAGGAGGCAAATTATTTGATTGTCTGCAATGATGGACACCACTATACCATGTTTGCCCCCAAACAATAATTGGATTGATTTGAATAGACATCTGCTGTCGGGAGCTTGAGCCAAAGTTAGCGTGCATTTGAACCACAGAACTAGTTGCCAGGACTTTTGCCCAAAGAAGAGCTCAGTGTAGCTCAAAAGCTTGTGTCTTTCATCAACAGAAGTTGGTCTAATAAATTATTACCTCACTCACTTTTTTACCTGCTATGGATTTTATTCTCAGGCTTGTGAAATCCATAGATCGGTCCACTACAAGTTCAGTAGCCAAGGATAAAATCTTTAATATTGATTTGAGTTTATTACAGTTGTACAAGGTCCACATTTTTTAGGTCAGCACAGTGAGACTTGTGGGCCTGTCAATTGGTAGTGAGACCTGAGGGCAGCTCAAGGCAATTCAAAGTCCATCTAAGGAGCATTTATCTTTTTTTATTTATGGAGCCTTTGGGGAAGAAATCCCCCTTGGCATGGTAATGTCACTGTGGCCTTGACCAGAGAGGAAAAAAGAGCTCTATGTAAAATTAGGGATTACTGACTGAGCCTTTTCCCCTCTCTGGGTGTTTGCCATTCCACCCTAAATAATTTCTTCAAAGGAATAAAGGGGAATGGCAGATTCTGTCCTGGTTTTGGGTAGGAAGTATTAACTCTTTGATTGTCTGGTTTCTCCTCTTTCTCTGGATTTTGATGGGAGTCATCACTTTCTTCCTGATGGCTTCAGATATGTTTGGGAGAAAGAATCTCTTCTGCTTCGCTGATCAGGTTTACTATATTGCACAGAGCGTTCGTGTTCCCCCTTCTTCGGAGCTGGGAGAGTAGGAGCCACTGCCTCAATGCTGAAAGCCCAGAACAGGGTTTCTGCCACACAACACACAGACTGCTAATAAACTCTGAAATCTACTAGTTAATTGTTCATGGCTCAATCTATATAAAAGCCAAACAGAAACCCAAATGTATTGGAAACCAAAATAAATTCAGGTTCTATTCAAATCAGAAAACATCAGCGGAGGTTAGGTCGCCCTTTCCAAACCATTCCCCAGACTAAAGACCAATAAGACAGTATTCTAAACATATGTCATAACTTGAAGTACTAGTTTATATGAGAAAACAGCTCCATGACTAACACTATCTCCAACCCAACTTTCCTCACTTTGGAATTTTCTGTTCTTCAGAACCAAACTAGCACCTCCCACCAGTCCTTCCAAAACTATATGGTGCAGCTCCCTACCAGGGACCAAAGTCATGAAGCAGACAATTAATATCCTTCACATCCAAACACCTAATGGATCAGACACAGTGATGTGTCAAGGACCATAAACCTGACCTGAATGAACCCTGTTCTAGTCTAAAAAGCCACTTGTTATCATATTAAATATGGAAAATCTAAAGCAAAAGTGAATACAAAATATGTTTCTCTGCTGCCCTATAATTTAGGATTCACACAACAGAAAGTTTATATATTTCAGTGCAAGCATACTCACAGCAGGCAATCCACCATATGAGCCATTCTTATATAACGGCAGGAACAGGCATACTTTGTTTGGCTGATTTTTATAAGTCCACTTCGTATACAGTGTGTCTGCAATAGTACAATCAAATTCATTCAGTTTAGATCAGAGACTTATAAACCCCAGAAACAGCAGCCAAGAATAAAGGAACACAAAAAATAGACACTTTAGTGCAACTGTAAGCAGCATCTGAAAAACCAAGATGACAATTTTCTACTGATAAGTTCAATTTCTTTATAATACAGAATGATAATAATCATCCACAAACAAAGGTAATAAAACACACTTAAATAGTTTTCTTTTATCCAATAAAAAAAATCCTTATTCTGTACATTTGTAGTATGAAGCTTGTGAAAGCCAATACATGGTTCATGGAGAGTAGAGTAATGTTTAATTTAAGGATAAATTATTCTATGGTAATGATCAGTTTGTCAATTATGTTGGTCCATTTCTTGGCTCTGAAATTTGATATGATTTTGGTCAGCTAAGAGGGTAAATGGAGCACTGTGCTCTTGAGCCAGGCCAGTTATATCTGCCTCATAAAAAAATGATAATAATTCCATGGAAAAGTTCATGTCTGTTCACAGGTCAACTTACCTTCCTATTGTTGTACTTCAAAACTGTGTAGAGTTTATCATCTGCTTCAACTCTTTTTGGTGTTGCTATGACAATAGCAGGTAGATAATAATCATTTCCAGTTTGTCCCCCAGTTCTGGTGAATACATAGTCTCCAACCTATATGCCAGAAAAGAATTAGGTTCTTCATGGCACACCAGTTTTAAATGATGGGTTTGACTATATAAAACAATATACTAATCCATTTTAGTGGGTTAATATGGAACTGAAGTGGAAAAAACAAAGGTAGCAATGACACCATGTGCTGATTTCTTTCAACTCCCACTAGATAAGCATCTCACAGGGATCATGCAATAAATCAGCATCTTATGGAAAAGTCCTAAAGAGTTTCAGAGGGATCAAGCTAATAGATTGCTATAAAAATTATTCTAACTTTTAATCCCTTAGAATTTAATATAGAAAGCTTTTTGTTTACATATTGGAAACATCATATGGAATTCTATGGCAGGAATATAATTTTAATTTAATTATACAATATTACTTTTGAAAACCTATATAAAGACTATAATTTTCTATTAAATTTTACAGGACACTTCCAAAATTGGATTCGCCTGACAGAATACAGATAAATATTATTAATATCAGCAGGAGATACTTACATAGTGCAAGGAAATAATTAAGTCTTTGGTCTTAATTGTAACCAAGACAGGGTAGATCATTGCTTTTTGTACCCAACATGCTTGTCTCTCTTAAAATAAGCCCCATTTGAAAGAAAAATTGTGATAACAGATGATTAGCTAGCTAACTTAAATACAGAAATGAAATATGATTTTTTATTATTTTGTTTAGGGTTAGTAAAAGTGCTTATGTTGGATTAAGCATATACTATGAAAAATGAATAGCTAGAACCTGATGTATGTTATAGTGTAACAAGTCCTGTTAGGTTCCTATGCTCTGAGTGTAACGTAATTATGTGTATTGTTTAGAAACCATAAGACCACTTGTGCTGAATGAACTGCCAAAAAATACACTATTTTAGATTGAAATCATTTGTATTTCTGCTGTACAAATATGTGTGATTGTAAAGAGCAACAATTCTAAACTATCACATATCATAACAAGTGACAAACATGAGACATACTGGAAATACAGTAAACTTCTGATAATCAGGCACCTTTAGGACTCAGGGGGTGCTGGATTATCAGATATACCGGACTATCGGAAGGGAGGGCTATGAAGGGTCTGGGGTGGGGTGGGGTGGGGTGGGGCGGAGGGGCAGGGCAGAACTGA